TTTATGCATTTGAATCATGCATTTCTGTGCCCTATAGTGCATGGCTCATATTGATTATGCACTCAGATGCCCATCAGATTTGGCCACAGCCTGGATAATGGATAATTTATAACAAATGTTTATTTATTCATAAAATGGTAAAAATGCCAGGTCTGAACTAACTCTGTTTCCAGTCTGTTTCTCTGGCATCCTGGCATATATCGGAGAGAACATGTCATTTATTCAAAACACCATGATAGGGAGACTAAGCAAGTAAGCAAATTTATTGTTGCAACTACAGATCATTATATAGGAATGCTACCGTATAAAACAGAATCATATAACAACAAAACAATGAAATTATACAATAAAATAATAGAAATGTTAGATAAAAAAAGATTACAACAAAATAAAGCTACAACTAAGAATGTATAGCTGAGCAAAAGTAGCAGCTTGATTGCTGATAGTTGGAAACACATCTTGCAAGGAGATAATTCAATTTTTCAAGGTCAGAGCTATTGAGTTCATCTTCCATTAATAATTTGACCCTGATCACAATACAGAGAGGATGAGATGGGAAAGGAAAAATAATATTAAATTCAGTGACTAAAAAGCTTGCTCTCAAGTAGAAAGACCAGTGGAATGCCATCCTATTAACTACCAGCATCTCTGTCTAATCTGGATTTAATTTCACTTTACTTATTCATATCCAATGCCTTCTCAAACTTCAGCAATGGCCAATGTAATTCTTTGCTGAAATGCTTCTTTGACGTTAGATGGCAAGGTGCTGAAAAACAAGGCTTTATTAACATACTGATACCATCTCATTGATACGATTAGCCCCCCCCTTCCCCATGAGGAAATATTTCAGCTGGTCCAGAATGCAATGACATGGGCAGTGAGAAACATGCTTAGGTGTGTCCAAGTAACTGGATTGCTTGCTGGTTTGCTTCCAAGTGTAATTCAAGTGAAGAGAAGGACTAGGGGAGACATGATAGCAGTCTTCCAATATTTGAGGGGCTGCCACAGAGAGGAAAGGGTCAAGCTATTTTCCAAAGCACCTGAAGGCCAGACAAGGAATAATGGATGGAAACTGACCAAGGAGAGATTCAATCTGGAAATAAGGAGAAATTTTCTGACAGTGAGAACAATCAACCAAATGCAACAGCTTGCCACCAGAAGTTGTGGGAGCTTCATCACTGGAGGCTTTCAAGAAGAGACTGGACTGCCATCTGTCAGAAATGGCATAGGGTCTCCTGCTTGGGTGGAGGGTTGGACTAGATGACCTACAAGGTCCCTTCCAACTCTGTTAATCTGTAATATCTGCTTATTGGTACCTATAAAGCCCTACCTGGCTTAGAGCCTGGTTACTTGAAGGATGATCTGTATTCCAGTCTGGTTCTATCTGGCAGGATTGGTGCACTCTGGGTTCCATTGATTAAACAATGCCATTTTTCAGGCCCCTGAAGTGCACCTTCTGTGTAGCAGTGCCTGCCCTTTGCAATGAGTCCTCTCCCCAGTTCAAATGGCCCCCACCCTACTAGCATTTTCAAGGAAACTAAAAATCTGGCTCTTGACTAACGTCCCTTTCTTCCTTTTTTGTTCCCCTCCAGGATTGATGTTTTACCTTTATTGTTCCTTTGTCTTGTGCTGGTTTTGTATTGTTCTTTATTTTTAAATGTTTTTAATAATTGTAACCTGCCCAGAGTAGCTGAAAGTCGGTAGCATATAAATGTAAGAAATGATAAAATAATTGGCTCTTATGACATATCCTGGGTTAATAGTTTCAAACAGGAGTGCTGTTGCACCACTTTCTTGGGAGATTGTGGACCATAGTTAAACAATGCAAAGTACCAGTAGTCCAGAACTACCCTGTTTTCCCCATAATAAGACATCCCCTGATAATAGGCTCAATCGGGCTTTTGAGCACATGGCAATAAGGCCAAGCGTTTATTTCAGGGTTCAAAAAAATATAAGACAGGTTCTTATTTTCAGGGAAACATGGTAGTAGGGCTTCCTTCCTTATTTGTGGCAAAGGTGACTCATCAACCTGACCGAAGTTTTCTTGTAAATGTATTCCATCTGAAAACTCAAGTGAATCGATCCAAATAACTGATACCCTCAGATGTACCTAGAATTGCGAAGCTGCTATCTTCATTACTGCTTTAGCCACAAGTAATTAGGACAATAATGTCCTAATTCTTCTAGGTCAAGGAGAGGTTATTTATTATTTGACTTTATTTCTGCATCCTTGCATAGGTGTTGGGGTGCCAGGCAAGCCTTTTCAGAAGGAAGAATTTAGTAACTGCCATAACATGAAGCTGGTCATTGTGTGACTGACTTAAACAGACTGGAATGTTAAGATTTATAATCCTTATTTCTCTAGATATCCTGTTCCCATCTTGGGGATTCACAATAGGAGAAACGATAGGAGAAGCTATTGTCCTAAATTTTCAATATTCTGTCCCATCATTAGAATCAGTGGTGGGTTGCCCCCGGTTCGCACCGGTTCTATAGAACTGGTAGTAAAATTGGCAGGAGGCCTCGCCCACCGACCCCAACATCATCAAAATGCTTCTGCACATGAGTGAAGCAAGTGTGCACGTGTGGCCCCATTGCAAACCGGTAGTAAAGCTAAGTAGAACCCATCCCTGATTAGAATCCAAATAAATGTAGGTCCAATCAATTAGTTCAGTAAGTAGTGATAATTTCTTATATTGCTTCAGTTCCTAGCAATGAACTTTCAAGGATGAATTTCATCATTCCTTAAGAAAAATACTTTTATTTACATGAGGCACCCAACGTATTTGTCTGAAATTTAGTCTGATTATCAATTAAAAGACTATTTTTTTAAAGTGCTTATAATTATAACTATTTTATTAGTTTATTTTTTGAAAAAATACAAAATAACAACAAAAGTATCTGGTTCTTTTCCTAGGCCAGATTATGAAGGAAAATTTTCTATTTTCTCCTGATGTAGGCATAGGTTTTACTGGGTTAATTCCAGAAAAAACATGGATGGGATTGAATCATCCTCCAAGCTCTGGAGGAGCTTTCTAAACTGTAACAAATGGTTTAGTCATACTGCTTATATGCCTATAATTGGAACTCTTAATTAGAGTTGCCATCTCTCTTAGAGAAAGAGAAAAGATCGTTTTTATTTGCTTACTTAGTTTAAATTCATAAATTCAGATTTAAAGGTATACATTGATTATGACAGAGATTAAAGATAAATGAAATTGGGAGTTTTGTAAAGTAGGGATCCCCAACTCCCAGTCTGCAACCCAGTGCTAGGCCACAGCACGTTTGGAACTGAACCGCAGAAATTTGTTGGTGAGCGCATGCATGTGCACGACTCTGCATTTGTGTAAATGGCATGTGCACACGAAACCATCATCTCCCACCCGCCACTTCCTCCACCTGTCCACCAAGTCAGAAAGGTTGGTGACCGCTGTTTTAAAGCAATCCTGTGAAATCCTATCTTTGGGAGACTTTTTCTTTTACCACTTCCACTTAACATTCTAGATCCGTGATGGCAAATCTATGACGTGTGCCAAAGGTGGCACACAGAGCCCTCTCTGTGGGCGTTTGTGCCATTGCCAACTGTTTTTCCGGGTTCCAGCACACTCATGCATGCTAGCCAGCTGGTTTTCACACATGGACGTGCCAGAACTCGTAAGAGCAGCTGGCCGCCGTGCGCACGGGCACCAGCCAGCTGATCTCTTCTGGGTTCCGGTGCTCCGGTGCGTGCAGTGCTGAAAAGGTTAACCATTACTGTTCTAGATCTCAATTCAGAATCTATCTTCTAGGCACCTATAAGTAAAATATCTTCCTATGACTTTGCTACTTTTCATGCCACCCTACGTAGAAAGGTAAATGTACTGAGATAGAGTTGTATTGCTTTTGTTGGAAGATTTGTCTGGCCTCTTCTGTGAGAAGAGAACTATATTGGTTCTACTTCATACTTTATAATTTTCTAGAACAATAACATCAGCTCTCAATATTCACAGTCCGAAATTTGTAAATAAGGCTTCTGTTGCAGAATGTTGATAGTGAGTGGCTCTTGTCTGAAGTGTAAGTGCTATTTCAGTAATGTATGATTGGACCTACACCACTTTGCCTGTATCACTTGAATAAGAGTGCTGAGAAGGCATTAGAAATAATCTGAGCTGTGGAATTTTTCAAACTTAGAACATATGCTCCTTTTGCCCTTAAAATAGACATTTTGCCCTTAAATTAGACATTTTTTTATTTTCTGCATGAACAATTCAGTACACATCTCAGCAAACAGAGATACAAGCATCCATTGTTTACCTGAACAGTGTGGTTGTGTGAACAGTAGAGCCATAGAGACATATATAAATTTGCGTTCCCAGAAATAATGAAGGAAGCACCCAAGAGAAGAATGCCTATCAGTGAAAGAATAACATAACCAAAATGCATCACAATTTGTACACTAAAAGGAAGGAATTTATTTAATTCCTTCTCTTTGTGCACTCTATATAATAATAACTTGAGGAAAACTGATTTCATTATTTGTTAAAATCACAAATCATACCTGATTTCTTTATTTCCCCTTCTTTTAACGTGAAAACGTTATGATTATGATTAGGAAAGAGTTAAGACAATGTTTTTTCTGTCCTTCTTCTGCTTGAGAGAATACGATACAGTGAATCAATTAAATAAAATACATTTTCTTCTACTCATCATTTATTTATTTATTTTAGATTTCAAAGAATAGTTACTCCAGTAGTCACATCAATGTTTAAGCATTCATGAATACTGTGTCATTAGATTTTTATTAGTATTATTTCTATTATAGTAATGCAATTTCTCATTCTGTTACAATTTGACTTGAGGAATATCTATTTTCTCTCACATTAATAAGATGGCTTGAGAAAAAGTATACCTTCAAATGATATGAATTTTAATTCTACGATACCTATTTCCAATAACTGTTTGACTTTCCCAGGGAAGGGACATTTTTCAGGTTTGTCTAATAACTTTTCTCTTTTCTGCAGATATTGATGAATGTGCCTTAAACACTCACACTTGTTGGAATGATTCAGCCTGTGTAAACTTGGCAGGGGGATTTGATTGCCTCTGTCCATCTGGACCTTCCTGTACAGGTGATTGCCCTTATGAAGGGGGCCTGAAAAGAAATGGCCAAGTATGGACATTGAAGAAAGACAGATGTTCTGTTTGCTCCTGTAAGGTAAGTGCCTATGAGTTTTCTAAACACTCCTACCGTGATTTGGAAAGCCATAGTTCTTTTAACCATGGGATTTTAAATAGGTTATGATTTTCTGGATTCACATTGCGTCCTTAAGTAACTTTTATGAAATACAGAGACTAAGTTCATACAACATACAAGATACTGATCCAGAATTCAATAAATCATCTGTAGCTTCTTCAATATATTTGCAAAATATTTGCTAGATCTGTATTTATTTATTTATTTATTTATTTATTTATTTATTTATTTATTTATTTATTTAAATGTATTTTTCAAACCACCCAAGTCACAAACCAATTTTTCTCAGTTCATGAAGTCTGTGAATATCTCTCAAAATATTTCTGCAATAATACTATCTTGAATAGGCTACACTGTTTCTGATTCAATGGCAGTTTGTTGGGATTACATGCATGTTTTTCTCAGCATTTGGTGCATTTGAGAATTATGAAGAAACTGCCAAAGTACGCTATTTACAGCACTTTAAATTATGAAGTTATTAATTGAGTCAGAGTATTACATTTTATCAAATAGTTCTAGTAAATTATGTATTTTTTCCTGCTGCAAAAATAATGAAAAGGCAGTCCTCTGCCTTTCACATAAAATTAAATCTAATAAAATGTTCAGGGAACGAGATCCCAGGTTGTGAAAATTTTTGTGAAAAACTTTAAGTGACTATTACAGCTATGTGTATGTAGAAAATGATAGTCAACCCCTTGTTGATGTTATCCAATGGCCTAAAATTGAGATATATGAAAAATAGCTTTTCTTCCTTTTCTAGAAAAGTGAAGAAGAAGAGATTATTGCAGCTATACAATTTTGTAACTATTCAGTTTGAGTTGGCTTGGATTTAATTAATTAATAAATAAAAAGCATTTGTTCCTATTCATGAGGACAAAATGTTTATTAAACATTAAAACTCTAACATCATAATTAATTGCTAATAACATTCACTACCTTTAATAACCTGACACAGATTTATTTTACGCTCTCAAAGAGCATCCTTCCAAACATATGAAATGAAGATGATGACAATGATCATGTTCATGATAATTAGATGTAGCAAGACTTTTCTTTAACACTATTTGTTATAGTTGTTTTCATGGGCTAAATGCAGGAAGTCTAGCTTTTAGCACTAATTTTCTGTATTTAAAAATAATTGATGAGAGACAGATATACAGAATTAGTGATGGGTGCCAAAATGAGTGGATGAAAGTTTTAAATAGGTTAATTCTTCACAACGTGATTCAATCTAGTTCAACATGTTACCATGTATGGACATTTCAGATGCTTTATGTTCTGAATAATGAAATATTAATGTTAAGAAACAGGGACACAACAAAACACACATTTTTTCCAGGCCCACATCTTGCTTCCAAGAGTATGTTATTATTTTTGAAGTATACCTTTCTTTATAGATGTGACGCCCCATGGAACTTTACTTGAAATCTTCCCATTTATAGTCTCCTATTTTTATTTTTTTAAAACCAGGTCAGAATCAGAATGCACCAAATCTCAAAAAACCAAAACACAAATTTTAGGCATATTTATACTTGTTAGAAAAAAAATGCATATGTTCCATTAAATTCCTTATTTAGCATAAAACAGAGAACTAGAAAGCCAGGGTATGAAAAGGAAGCATTACCTTATGGACTAGCTTACCTACTTTGCCCCAAATTTCCCATGTTTTTGACTAAGTTTTTGAAAGAAACCAATCATTAATCTTCAGCTAGCTAAGATATTTTACATAACTGGGGAAATCTCCTTATGTGTTTCAATTGCTTCTACATTCTTGGATACATGAATCAGTATAACAATATACTGGGAAGAACAGTTATTGTACTCCTAATAAACTTCTTCATCATGAAGAGAGACTGCAGTTAAAAGGCTTCAGATCGAAATCTCCTCCCCCCCCTGCTCCTGTCCCTCTAAATCATTTATTCGTTGAAATTTCCTATTTTCTACAGTTCAAAGTTATTTTATAGCTGGATCTGCTACATATTAATTTTTAGCTGTCTTTTACATTCAAAGATTTCTCATCTTCATTTTAAAAAATTTTTTGGGGGGGAATGGATAGTTAGATGAACTCCTAATTACCTTTTTCCTTATCTAAACTTCATAAATATGGAATGTGTCATGCTTTTAGGGAAAAATGTGTATTCTGTTTGGACTTTATTCCCCTTGGTACAATCGAATATGCCTTATTTAACTGCATGCTTCAATTGGATTTATACTAATAGCATAGTGGTTATTCCCTCCTCCTTCTGCTCCTTTCAGTTTATGCACATCTTAGCTTATTTAGCAATTGGTAAGGTTATTGTATAAATATATATTTGACACTCAAAGCAACAAATCTCTCTCTCTCTCTCTCTCTCTCTCAATATACATAATGTAAAATACAATAAAATTAATATGTATACTCAGAGTAACAAAGGTATAAAATATTATTTTAAAAATTGACTTCTAGTCAAGATATATTTATATACTTTTGTTCTCTGGTATGTATCATTCCAAATATAGAAAGTACATTAACTAGTTTGCACAATACATTTAATATGTTTGATTTTTATCACTTTATATCATTAACTTGGTTTTAAATTCCAGTGTTCTTTTCCCCCATTAGTAGTACAAAGATAAATGTTTGTGGAGATTGGAAGAAAAGTATCCATTTCTTTCAAAGACTCAGGAGTTCTTTTCCCAACTTGAATTATTTTATATTTGATAAAATATGACGGTTGATAAAACACCCTAGACCAATTCCAGTCACTGTTACTAAAGGGGGAAAGATCCAGTCCAAGCCCTCTGCTATGGCAGAGATCATTTGTCACCAAAGGGTCACATATCTTCTACATGTCAATAATATGCAGTTCCACATCTTGACTTTTGGCCAGATAGGTGATGAGGTGGAAGTCCTGTCCCAGTACCTGGATGCTGTAAGGCTCTGGATGGGGAGAAACAGGCTTAGGTTTAGCCGTAACAAAAGTGAATGGTTTGGGCAGTGGCAGCTTAAATGACCTGCCAGTCACCTACCATCTTTAATTTTGGATGGGGTGGCACTGCCCCAAATAGAACTGGTATGTAATTTGGGGGGTCTTTCTGGACTCTAGGGTCCTGTTACATCCTATATGCCTTGCATCTTTTTCTGGATCAGAAGGCCTTTCTTTGTTACGCATATCCTAACCAACTTCTATTTGGACTAATGAAATAAGGTCTTCAAGGCCAGCAGCTGTGAATGCAATTATAGGCATCCATCCAATACAATTACAGATAGTTTTTCACCTCAGAGCCACAAGAGTAGATCACATGGCATAGCAGATAATTTGTAAAAGGGTGATTTTTTTTTTTTAAAAAAAAGCATTCTTGAAAATTAATCAGTAATACCTAAGATACGATGGGGACAATGCTCATATCTCACCAGTTGAGAATAATTTAGTTTAAAAATCACTTGCTCAGCCAAAACATTAACAAGACAACATCTCATTAATATTCCTTTCAAGTGGAACCTCTTCTAACTTGGAGATGAAAAACCCAGCCAGGCAAGTGCAAATCATGCTTCCTTACATTCCTATAACCCTTTTTCTAATGTTTTAAAATTTCAACCAGTTTTTCTATAGGCACCATCATTCCACCTACATAGCAAGACCAAGCAACACCATACAGTACATTGTTTTTGGTGGGGGGTTGTTATTGATATTTTTGCTTCACATAAGTGCAGCTGCTGGCTAAAAATGCACAGTACATATATAATCCACAGATCTGAGAGTAACCCCAGTTAAAAAGAGCTGGAAGCTGTGATTTCACATTGTTGTATATATAATAAAAATAAATTAGTCTGATAAGTTCCAAAGGTGCTTTTTCAGGAGGCAACTGAACTTTCTTGTTTTTTCTATGAAGGTGTTTCGCTTCTCATTTAAGAAGCTTCTTCAGCTCTGAAGAATGGTGGGATGGTGGGAATAGAAGGATTTATGTTCCTTGCAAACAGCTGGTCATTTGCATCCTTTTAGAGCAGGGGTAGTCAAGCTTTTTATACCTACCGCCCACTTTTGTATCTCTGTCAGTAGTAAAATTTTCTAACCGTCCACCGGTTCCACAGTAATGGTGATTTATAAAGTGGGCAGGGCCAACATGACGTCACTCACGTCACTCTTTCTTTCTTCTCTCTCTCTCTCTCTTTCTCACTCCCATCCTTTCTTTCTCTTTCTTTCTTTTCTCTCTCTCTTGTCAGCCCCGCTGCACTGGGGCTGTCATTCCAGCGCGGACGGTAGCCGATGGAGCCAACCGCCCCACATTCCAGCTGCCCAGGAAGCCTCACCCTGACTCCACTTGCTAGTTCTGTGTCCTGTCGCTCGCTGGTGGCTCCCTCTCCTGCTCGCTGCTTCCGGAACCACTGCTGCGACCTCAGATCTCCTAGTCTCTGCTGGTCCGCTACTGCCTCTCAGCTGAAAGGCAGACAGGAAATAGCAGGTGCTCGGGTCAGCACCGGCTGCTTCCATGCCTCCGCAGAGGCCCCAAGCCTGATCGGGAGCAACATCGCCACCCAGACTGCCCAGGATTACTCAGGGCTTGCCCAGGAGTAATCAGGACTCGATAGCCCAGGCAGCACAGGATTAATTAAGGCAGCTAGAGCTGTGCGCCAGTTGCATGACTGAGGGGTGGAGTTGGGGGTGAGTAGCAGGGTGAGGCATGCTGGGCATGTCTCCTGTCATTGGCTGGATGCGGGTGGTGGGACCCGAGGTGGAGGGGAAGGCAAGTGAGCAGCAGTCGCCCAAAGGCCCTGTGGAAACCAAGTGTGCCAGGTCCAAAAGGAGAGCGAGCCTCGCCATGTTTCCCCAAGGCAGCTCTTCTTCAGCCGAGCGCAGCGGGTCCCCCTTCCTGACTGCCAGTGTTGGCCTTACATTTGCCCACCCTCCCAAGTCTGCACACCCCATGCACATCCCAGCAGAGCAGCAGTCTCGTCTCCAGCAGCTGCTGCAGAAGAAGGAAGAAAGTGCTCTGGGAGGGCATGCAGCCTGGGCCGGAAGTGGTGCGTCCTCCATCATGGTCTGGATGCAGGCAGCGGGGAAGGCAAGTGGGCAGCAGTTGGCCAAAGGCCACCCGGAAGCTGAATGCACCAGACCCAAAAGGTGAGCGAGTCTCGCCATATCCCTTCGAGGAGCTGAGCACCGCGGGTTTCCCTCTCCCCTACCACCCACCATGAAAGCTGGAACGCCCACTAGTGGGCGGTAGGGACCAGGTTGACTACCACTGTTTTAGAGGGTCATTGAGGCCACCTGGAGGTTTATCTGTGTCCTCAAGGTTGCCTGAGTAGTGCTAATGATTCATGTAATCTGCAATTTTTCTGGAAATCCGTTCATACTCTCATACCATTCATCCCAAATTGCATAGCTAAAAGTCTGTAGAGATTCTCAGTCATCCAAGTCATAGTTGTCCCAAAGGTGCTTTTTCAGGAGGCAACTGGACTTTCTTGACAACAAGAAACTTCAGTTGCCTCCTAAAAAAGCACCTTTGGAACAACCATGACCTGGATGACTGAGAATCTCTACAGAGACTGACAAGTATTTAGTTTTCTTTTCTTTGGCTATATGTTTAAATGCTTCCTTACCCTTAGCTCTCAACTCTCCACTTCCAGCTTACCAATGTAAGCTAAACCAATAGTTGCAGGTCATGACTAGTCTCTGCTGTTTTACTGGCTGAGCTGAAGAAAAACTAAAGGAAGCAATCCAATCACCAACCACAAAACAACAACATAATTGCAACTTGCAGGATAATCAGAATGGCTACATTTTGTTTCGGTTTGGAAGAAAGCTAGCAACAAGGATGCTTGAAGTCAGCACATCTAGAAAGCGAAATATTTCATCTATTTCTTTTTCATGGTAGACACTGAACTTCAGTTTGATTGTGTTGTGTTATTTCTTGAACTATGTTCTTCTGCCCTTTCAGATGTCCAAAACAAATATTTCATTAATTGCTGTGTTAATTAAGGGATGCAGTAAGTCACCCATTAAATAAATGGCAATATAAATGCAACATCTAAATATGACTCACTAACTCATTGTCAAACTCATCGCAATGAGTATATTAATTTATAACTTTTTATTTAGTGGCATTTGCTTTTATTGCTTCTTTATTTTGTTAACAGGATGGCAAGATCTTCTGTCGAAGGACAGCTTGTGATTGTGAAAATCTCAGTGTTGACTTCTTTTGTTGCCCAGAATGTGATACCAGAGTGACCAGTCAATGTTTAGATCAGAATGGGCATAAACTGTACCGAAGTGGTGACAATTGGACATACAGTTGTCAGCAATGCCGCTGTCTGGTATGGAAGTAAAAGAAAAATAAGTTTAAAGAGCCTTATTGTTTGTAACGATAAACCATATTCTAGAGTTCAGAATGTTCATTATGAACAAGCCTGTTCTTTTTTGACACAACATTGCTATGTATTTTTTCTAACATCTAGCCTATTCAGATAGTTGTTGCCAAGAGACTTAATACGAAAAGGCATATCTCAGTCAAAATTAAATCTATTGCAGTACAATCATACACATACCAACTTAAAGTAATTATTTATTGAGTTCAATGGAGCATGCCCTTAGGCAAATGAATATAAGGACTGCAGATTTAATCATGTCTCTCAACAGAAAAAAAAAAGGTCCTTCAATAATATTCTGAACAATCAGCTTTCCATCTGATATAATGCTAAATCAAGTGGTAACAAACCTCAGCAGAATATTTCTTATTTGAATGTCACACAATTCCTTATCCCAATAAAACTAGGACAATTGCAGCTATTTAATACAACCAGAGTCTTATACCAGTTTCTTTGTTCTTGGCTCTTGATTGATCAAGGCCTTGTTTAAAATAACTACTCAGTATTCCTAAGGGATCTCAAGGAGCAGCAAAAACTTTCCATACTAGGTCAACAGAGTCAGGATAATGCTTTTCCTAAATGATACAGCATTCTGCAAAAGAAATGAAAAATATAATTAATGACTTATTTTGTCTATTATAATAGGAACCAGAATTGCATATATTGGGACTCCAAATGGAACAAAATGGAAATGTACACATTTCCTTATTATGTGAAGACATTTGATGGTGCATTTTTTCAAAATGTTTGGAAAGTTCCAAGTTTCAGTAAAACACTGACTATAAAATAGCTATTAATCTCTACAATGTAATTGCTGCTTCTTTAAAGAAATTATAATATTCCTTATCCTAAAATCTTAGAATGTTACAGTTGGAAAGGACATACACTGAATCCAATTAATTCAACAAATGTGGACTTTCTTGTGTGTGACATCTTTGTCCCTGCACTCACTCAGAATAGGGTTCACCTCCAGAGGCTAAGACACTTTATCATGCTTCAATTCCATTGTGCTTTTAATTATACAAAGCTATAGTAAATCTCTTGTACTTGCTGGAGAGTGATGCAATAAATTATTTACTAACACATTCTTAGATGACAGTTACAGTATGAATTCATAATACTTTGTAATTATTTCTTGGTGTTTATAAATGATCATGTAGGATTTTGCTTTATTAAAATAAGTAGATGTGATGATGTGATGTACAAGTTTTTTTTCTTTTTTTCATTTCCAAATTAGTATTTTGCATAAACTAGTAAATTTATTACAAACTGTGATGTCTCTAAAGGGAAAGAGATAACTTTCTCTGCAATCTTGGATCTTGAATATCTGAATCAAATCAAGTTTTCCCTTTATACAATGTATAGGATAGGTTGAGGAGAAGGTGACTGAATCTTCAAATTTCTGTGACTCTAAGACTAAAATAGTGAATGTTAGAAGATCATTAGAGAAAGAGATTGATTAAAAACATAAAGGAAAAAACATATTCTGTCATGGTTCTGACTAACGAACCCAAGCAAATCAGAACTCTGAGGCAGAGATCTTTCTCAAAGAACTTCTTTATTGGGTACACTTAATTGTGCCAATATGATGTATCCAATAAAGAAGTTCTTTGAGAAAGATCTCAGTCTCAGAGTTCTGATTTGCTTGGGTTCGTTAGTTGAAACCGTGACATATTCAATGATGAGTTTAAATTCTGTCTTCTCTAACAAGAAGGCATAAATTCTACTAGGCAACTATAAAAGTTTGGATTAAGAGTCAGGATTGAACTCTGAGCCTGATAAAACACAGCCAAAGAATATCTGTTGACTTTGGATTAATTTAAATCAGAATCAGATTAACTTCATCCAAGATTATTGAAAGAATTTGCTGATAATCTGTTGTCCTTTATAAACCGTAATAGGGAAGGGAAATGTTTGTTGTTTACAAATGGGAAAACAGAGTATCCACAAAATTCCAGTTCAAATAATCTAATATCACTTTTAGATATTTGGAAGATTCTACACTATATCATTTGGATTGCCAAATTATAAAATAGGATATGTATATGTATATGTATATGTTATGTGTGTGTGTGTGTGTGTGTGTATGTGTATATATATCTATATCTATATCTATATCTATCTATCTATCTATCTATCTATCTATCTATCTATCTATCTATATACATACATACATACATACACATGCAGACACATTTCTTATATATAAAATAATCCTGTTAATTATTAGCATTCAGCAGATTTTACACTGAGAGTTTATGCACCAAAGACAAATTCCTTGTGTGTCCAATCACACTTGGCCAATAAAGAATTCTATTCTATTCTATTCTATTCTATTCTATTCTATTCTATTCTATTCTATTCTATTCTATTCTAGAACATTTTTAATATACTATACAGATATAACTGAGTTAGAATTCATTCAGTGATGCAATTCCATTAATTTAATTTATAAAATAGTTTTTATATATATATATATGTGTGTGTGTGTGTGTGTGTGTGTGTGTGTGTGTGTGTATGTATATGTATATGTATATGTATGTATATATATGTTTTCATAGATTTTCACGGGTACAGGTATGCAAGTCTTAGTGTCTTTTCCCTAATCTTATCATATTTAGACAAAATATATTTTGATCAAAGAACCCAGATCTATGAACAAAGTGTCACTTCATTATTGTATAGCTTATGGTATCTATCCAATTCAAAGCTATCCAATTTTGCCCTGGTTTAATACAATTGTTGGATCAAGACTGCAGTCTAAATAATTTTTGGATAATTATTCAATCATAATATTAATATTTTGATTGCAGAAAAAGTTGTTTTTGATGTTTTCTGCCTTTCATGAGTGCCAATTTATGTGTTGATGGATTTCTTTTGCTTTTCATAGGAAGGTGAAGTGGATTGTTGGCCACTTGCATGTCCAGCCCTGAATTGTGATTATACAACAATGTCAGAAGGAGAATGTTGCCCTCATTGTGTCAGTGACCCTTGTTTGGCTGATAATGGTATATATGACATCCAAAAAACCTGTTTAGATGACTATGGAATAACACGGCTAAGTGGCTCAGTATGGACAATGCTTGGATCGCCTTGTACAACCTGCAAATGCAAGGTATTTATATAGTAGCAAAACGTGCTGTAGCATAGAGTGTATATAAGACTGAGTTTTCTTTTTAAAAATAATTTTGCTATTTAATTTCAAACAGCAATAAGGTGGTGCAATACAATATACGATAATAAAATTATGCAAAACTTATTATGTGATTATTATCCTGGGAGGCTGAACCAGAACTATTCAATTGGTCTTTATAACTTTAAATTAGTATTCTTACACCTTGCAGAGTTTTTAGATATGCATACAGGATAGTGACATTTATTACAGATATGCATTTTAGTCATACATACTGTATATCTACATATGCATATACACCCAACTTTTAATGAATCCCAATTGTGAATGCCATATAGTTATGTTAAATTGGCAAATACTAAGTGGAAGAACCCTCTCTTTTTTCTCTACAAGTGGTGAATCATGAAGAACAAAGGTCAGGGAAGATACGGCTCTCAAGTGATATTTCCAAATTAATGAGGAGATGGTTTTGTTGATCCCCCCATTTTAAAATTAATCATTAAAAATAAACAGACATTAAGACATTAATATCAGTAAGTGGACAGAGAAATCGGAAAAATTGTAGTATTAGCACTCAGTATGTCATGGATAAAGGATTAATCATAAAAAGCAGAATGCATTGAGTTAACAAAACAAAAAAGGATTATAAAGATCTTCTTAATTCACTGAGCTGGTTGCCAATATTTCCATTTATTTAAAAATAAATTACCTAATAGGAACAAATAAGCAAAGAAAACAGGGAAAACATTATTGAGTAAATACTCTACGTCTTACTTTTCCTTCACTGTACTCCGTTCTGTTGACATTAAGGGGTTTCAAAATCCTGGCAATAATAGAAATGTCTACCACAACAATCTAGTTTTATTCAGAACTAGCTGATAACCCAGCACTGCTCGGGTATTTAAAGACATCAAAGCGTTTGTCTGACAGGGAGCCATTGAGAGGGGCCTTTCTTCCCTCTATTCCCATGCCCATCATCCCTGCCCTCTCCCTTCCCCTTCCCACCCCCCCTACCTGTGCCACCATCCATTTTACCATTTCCTCAAACTGGGACTGGGCCTGGAACATAAATCCCTGAGCTGGGCCATGCTGCACCTCCTCCACCCCTGTCTCCTCTGTGGCCTCCATCCCTGTTTCATCTCGGTTGGTGTGGTCCTTCACGCGATGAGGAAAGGACGATCCTGGGAAAACGGGCTGAAGCTGTGAGGTGGGGGCAAACGATCTGGTTAGGCTGTGGCAATCAAAGTCCTATGTACTGGCCTAATCAGGCTCCCTTAGCTTCATAGGCCTACTGTGTGAGGGAGGCCTAGGCCTTAAAGGCCCATTGTGTGAGGGAGCACACTCAATTAAAGGCCTCTGTCCTGGCCTAATCAGGTTCCCTTCCCCCTCCCATGACATCATGAACAAATGTCTCTCTAGGATGCCGCACTCGCTCTCCTTAAAGGCACAGGCTTTCCAGAGTTATGCTGGAACACACACACACACACACACACACACACACACACACACACACACACACACACGGGTGTCTTACCCCCACAGTGCTTGTCTTCGGAGGGTAAGTTATCTGTGTACCAAGTTTGGTCAAAATTGCTCAAGGCATTCCAGAGTTATGTTTAAACAAACATGTATACATACATAGATCCTTTTTTATATAGATAGATAGATTAGGTGTCAGATGCTGTTCATTCTGTATCCAAAGGACTGTGCCCACAAGATTGGACTCAGTTCTATTTTCTATTTCCACAATGGAGGAAAACCCTGCAAAAACAAAGGCCAAAAATGCCCATACACTTTTTAAATAATATCTTGTATAACTTGTAGTCCTTTAAAAGGTTGTAAGGCTTGGATGTGGCTCCCAACCAAAATTGTCCACCCCAAGTTTAGTGGAATGAATCCAGCAAGCTAAATTAATTTCATAGAAAAATCATAGAAGAAAGAATGTTTCTGAAAAATAGACATGTGTAATTGTTTAAGATAAAGTACATTTTGTCTGACTTCTTGAGCATAAAAATAATGCATCCATCCTGACAGTATGTTAACTGAAATATCACCTTTATTATTGGCAATTTGCCATGGAAATAAGAACACAAGAACTGTACTGAAGTAATCAAAAGCTAACCCTATGGGAAGACATGCAGGAACAGAATAAAATTGCATTTCCTTTTTATAGGATAATGTTTATCCTTCATGTGTCTGATTTCCTTTTAAACCAATCTAAGTGAGTTGCTTTCATTATATCATGGGATAACAAATTCCAGATGTTCATTGAATGTTATATGAAGAAGGACTTCCCTTTATCTGTTCTAAAATTTTTTAATATTTAGCTATATTCTATCATCACTCTATTGAATTTTTTTTAAAAAAGTTCAGGTAACCTCTTGCCTCATACCACTTATACGATTAGAGTATTTTACCAGTTCCACTTATTTCCATTTATATAAATCAGAGTACCAACGCTGTACCATTCCTCATACAGAAGATGAGGTAACACATAGATACTTGGTATCTATACTTGGTATCCATGTGTTACAAAAAGTTCCCCTTTTGTGTATCTTTTCCAGATTGACATCATATTATATGCCCCATTCTTTTTTTTTTCTCTTGCAGATAGTAACTCAGGTAAATATAACCTTAGCAATGTTCTTTGTGTAAGATGATTTGGTCACATGATTTATTATATGTGTAGAGAAAGGACAAATTCACAACATTCTTGCTTTATGAATGAATGAATGAAACAAAAATTTTAACACCCAAGTGAAAACGATTGTTTGATCTCTCTTACAATAGAAATAGGTTTACAAATGCTCATGTTAAAGATTCAGGTTGTTAGCGTCCATATGAGAAGATTTATTTTCTTCACTTGTATTACTAGTATTAATTCCTCCTTTTTATCTTTTCCTTCCCGTTCTACACAGAATGGAAATGTCTGTTGTTCGGTGGATTTAGAATGTCTTCGCAATAACTGAAGTATTAAACTGGGACAATCCTTTTTGTGAGGAAAACTGATGCAATTTTCCACTTTCCAAACAAATGCAGTGCAAGTAAGAGGTGGAAGTTTTGTACAACAGACAATGATCTAAGTCTCTGAGGAAGATATTTGGGAGTTGCCTTTGGGACCTATCACTACACTTGCTAGGCTTCTCTCTACTTTTACAGTAAAATGCATATAAATCAATGGTTGTTAAAAGTTTTGAGTGTTGTAAATTACACCCTTTTTTGTCAAATCATTTGCAAATGCATTAAAATTATTCCATCAGTAAAATGCAGTGTATTGATTTGTTTAATTTTGTAAAAAGATCACAATGGAATTTCCTGTTTTATTTTAGGTTTAGATCAAAGTTCTACAAAATAAGGCTGCCTGTGGTTTTGTCTCATATTATTGGCTATTTAGTTTGGAGGTTCCTGTCGGATGTATTTATGAAAATATGTATGTATGTACAGTCAAATTGCATAGTACTTATATTTCATAGCTGTCAAACATTGTAAAACATTCCAAGGTACATTTGACTTCTACAGGCTGAAAATAATCGAATCCTAGCCTATCTTTATGAAAATAAATAAATAAGAAGGAATAATGTCACAAGTTTAATGAAGTGGCAAAAAGCACTTTCTTTTGCAGACAAATGAACTAGCAGCAAAAATCCCAGAGTGGAAGAAGAAATAGAGAATTATATTGTTTTCATAGCAACGATCCTGAGCTTAGTCAGAACACCAGGCCACGTTAAGTTTAGCAAAATGTTGTCATTTACAAATCAAACAATAAATATTGAATGTAGGTGGAATTCATACAGGGTTGTGTAGCATTCAATAAAGCAATCAAAGGGCTTTACATTTACAAGATTGTATGTGAAAAGTGATTTTTTTTCATATTGTTTATACCAATGTACTTGAGTTTATAATCTCTCTCCTGAATAATTGCTTTGGTGTAATAACATCTACCATTCTCCATCGCAAATGATGTAATGAACAAGTTCTTCATCTATTCCATGTTACAAGTTGTAAGAAAGATGTAAATGTCACTGCAGTTAACTATAATTTCAGTAGATCATATTAGGCAGAGTAGTAGCCTCTTGGTTCCAATTTTCTTTTAGTGTAATACGTTGCCCCTTTGGCTCTATTATCCCTCTTCTGACACTCACCCAAATGTAATGTATTAAGTTAGTTGTCTGTAAAATGCTACTTAAAACCATAAGCTTGGGCCGAAATTGTAATTAAACATTTGAACTGTGCATAAAGGTTAAGCTTGAAGGATAGGTAACTGCTGTGATTTTGCTGAGCTAAGGCTTTGATATTACTAATGCAAGCCCTATCTCAGCCTAGAACTGACAGCTGCTGATATCCAACTGGTTTCCATACACAATTCTCCTCCTTCTGCATAGCATGTACTATACAATGTATGACTGTATGGGAACTGAAAAGTCAAATTTCCTACATTCAGATGCACAGCCACAAGCAATGCTGAACCTGATCTTCAAATCTATAAATGATACAATATGGCACATCTAAAAAAAATAATAATCACTGGATATAAGTGAAAGGAAGACAAAGATTCCACTCTCCACAATGATTACCTTTGAAATGGAAGGCTGCCTTATATTAGCACAGAGATGCAGCCGTGGTTGAAAGTGAGCAGGCAGGCAAGAGGTGGAGGCATTTACTGTAAGTGATGCAAATAAGTGGCTGGAACAGAGCCTGGAAAAGGGTTGAAAGCTTCCTCCTTCTGACTCATTGAGGGAACAGATGCAGTGTCTCCTTTTCCCCTTATTTTTCTAGAACCTCAGGTTCAGGGTGCAACGGCAGAGACTGGCACTCTCTTGCAATACGTGAAGCCCCCTCAGAGAGGATGCTTTTGCCTTGTTTCCCTTGAACAGCAGTTAGCATCTGTAGGATTTCATAAAGACAGAAGAATATTTTAAAGTCTTAATCATTCATATCTGCTAGGAATTAGAGAGAGAGAGAGAGAGAGAGAGAGAGATCTTTTTCCCTACCCTTTTCAGTTGGACCTACCCCTTCTTCATTCTGTTCATTCTGTTTTTCCTGGTTTCTCCTGGAAAGAGAGAAGATTATGGTGTCTTAACTGTATCTGGTGTCATATCCATGTATAAAAGAGAATAGTTTGTATATGCAAATAGGGGAAGCAATTAATTTTACAAATCAGTGCCTTACTTTTCAGGCAATTAATTTTAATTGATCGCTTCTAATTCAATTCATATGAATTTAATTTTTTGTCCTCATCCTGACCTTTTTGAGGAATGTTGGTCTGGCCTTTCTGACATGCAGACATGTCTTTCTCACATACATCTATGGTTAAGGCTGGAGTAGGCAAATCCTAGGTTTCAGCTGCATATTGGGCAAGGCAAAGAAATCAGGCATAACATCTGTAAGTGTGTTTACAATCTTTCCTTCTAGCTAATTTTCCTTGTTTTTGACACACATATTAAATTCATACCTCTCTTTATTTATTATTCATATTTCTATACCGCCCACTGTCCGAGGACTCTGGGCGGCTTACACCAAAGACAGTATACTAAATAGCATATTGCCCCCAACAATCTGGGTCCTCATTTTACCCACCTCGGAAGGATGGAAGGCTGAGTCAACCTTGAGCCGGTGAGATTTGATCCGCTGATCTGCTGAACTAGCAGTCAGCTGAAGTAGCTTCAGTACTGCACTCTAACCACTGCGCCACCTCAGCTCTTCCTTTTGGGAAAAGTCCGTTGTTGTATCCTGACATTCCTATAAAGCAGAAGGAAGGTGGCTTGTTGGCACTATTGCCCCTGTCTTGAGTCACTGTGTTTTCAAAGCATTTGTGGTCTTTATTCTGCTTAATTACCTTTTACTATCTTTGATAAAACTTGGGGGAACTATTCAGAACGAGATCCTGCACAGAAGTGCATAATGTTTGCAACCAAGAAATAAAAAACTGACTCCTAAAAAACCCTGAAAGAGTGTCAGTGTGACAGGGTGGTCTGCTGGGATCGGAGAGAGGGGAAGAATTTGAAAAATGAAGATGGCAGCCACAGCGGTGCAATTGAAGTCCCACCTGCCTTTTAACATGCGTCATACATATAGGATAAAGATGAGGTGGGAATTTGCACAGTCTTTTTTTGTATAATTTTTATTATGTTTTTAAAAGATAATTTAAAATGAATTCAGACTAAAAGTAAAAGAAAGAAATGAAAGCAAAAGCTAAAAATGCAAAAAAGGGGAAAAAAAAGAAAAATAGATAAGAAAAGATGCAAAGAAATAACTTCCAATTTTCTTTACAGCAGTTATAAATACAATAACTTATACTTAAATTTACTTCATACTCTATGGCTACAACTCTCTTATTTCTATAATTTAATCTGTCTAATAATCAAAACTATATTTTATAGGTCTATTTTTTTCTCTTTCAAGCAAAGGATAGTTTCCAGTCAGTAATAAACTTGATATTGTCTTTTCTTTGATCAAAGAACTCAGTTTGCCCTCTCAGCAAGTTCCATCAAATTCACTCACCATTACTCCATTGTGGTTATGATTAGATTTTCTATATACAACAATCTCACTCCAGCTATTGTGTACAAAATGTTCCATTACTTTTTTTCCAGTTGGAACGTTGTACAATCTTGGGTGCCATCATTACTTTTTTGATCTTCACTGAGGATGCTTTCATTTGGATACCGATAAGGAAGAAAGGATAGGCAGCATCTGGCTCCAAATAGGTTTCAAGAATCACTGTGCTAAAGAGATATTACTTAATATTATGAAAGGTCTAAGATTATGTACACACTGTTTAATCTACACTGGGCATCAACATTTACCCAGATACAAGTGATAACACTGCAATGCAACATAAAATGTCCCTTGATCAAGTAGCTTTGATGCACACAGTAGAATTATTCAGTGCATTGTTTACTTCAATGAATTCAATGAAGTGAATTCCCTTCATGCATAAAATGAATGTAAATGTACAAACAATTCCCCATCACTGGAAAAAAAAAGGAAAAACAAAGGCAGCTCAATGTATGTAGGACTCCATCTTTGCTTTTCATTTTTAAACTTTCTTCCCTCTTGACATACACTATGTATTGATTATATTTGCATTGTTTAACAATGGTATTATAAACTGTGTTTTTTAAAATCCTCAAAGGACATTTGTAAACCATGCCATTAAAGCATTTTGTAAATCATATTGTAAAGCCACTGATAATTCAACTGGAGGAAATGAAACCGTGCTTTGGGATGTAAACGGGAGTGATTTAAAACTTGTGGCATCTAAATAAACTCCTGAGTACAGATCTTCCTGCCTCCATAGTTTTGTTTCAAACTTGGCATGTTCTGAATTATGAAAAATTCCAAATCTGGGAACAATAATTTTAAAAGCTCTTTCTTGGATACCTGGCTTGCTTATATCTCAGAGTAGAGGAAGAATAGACCTGGAAAAAGGTAAGATATGGGTAAGATGTTCTGATCCTCAACCATTCAACTGCATTTCTCGATGGAGCATACTTCAGAGTAAATGTAGCATATGTAAATCATACATTTATTAAAAGTAACCCCAGTGGTATAGTGATTAATGAGATTTGGCTTCATGTCTCTGCTCAACTACAGAGATTCTCAGTGACATTGGGTTCATATTATGGAGTTGCAAGAATAACAGTTGTAGGTCCCTATTTATTACTCTGTGTGACAACTATTTTTCTAAAATACCATTATTAATCATTATTTAAGGAAAATACCACCTCACTCATTTTTTTATTAGAACCAAAATAAATAAAGGTCAGCATTTGCATAATATTGAATATACATTAATGAGTATTTTTTTAGAATTTTCAGTAGTCTAGTATCAACTGAAACATCTTCCAAAATCTTTTCAAAGAGCTTGAGAGACAGTAGAGTGTAGTATTTTAATGTTGGGCCAATCTATACCAGTATGTTTTTTTTCCCACTTTTACTGTAATCTCTGTTTTATTGTTATGCACTGGATAGGCTCCTCAAACCATTTTGAAGTGTTCTATTCAGACAAATAGAATAACAGAGTTGGAAGGGACCTTGGAGGTTTTCTAAGCCAACACTCTGCCTAGGCAGGAAACCCTACACCACTTCAGACAAATGGTTATCCAACATCTTCTTAAAAATTTCCAGTGTTGTACATTCACAACTTCTGGAGGCAAGTTTATTTATTTATTTATTTATTTTTGAATTTGTATACCGCCCTTCTCCCTGAGGACTCAGGGCGGTGAACAGCCAAATAAAAACATCAAATACAAATATTAAAATACAGTTAAAATATATATATATAAATTTGGCCCCATTAATTAAAACAATAAACAAAACAATTAAAAACACTTAAAAAGAATTAGGCCAGCCTGGCTTGTTGGAAAAAAGATTTTAAGGGCACGGCGGAAGGCACTGAGGTCATGGATTCTCCTTATCTCTGGGGGCAACTGATTCCAGAGGGTGGGAGCCCCCACAGAGAAGGCCCTCCCCCTGGGGGTCACCAGCCTGCATTGTTTGGCTGATGGCACCCCGAGGAGGCCCTCTCTGTGGGAGCGCACGGGTCGATGGGAGGTCGTCGGTGGCAGCAGGCGGTCTCGGAGATAGCTAGGCCCTATGCCATGGAGTGCTTTAAAGGTGATAACCAACACCTTGAAGTTGTTCCACTTATTAATTGTTCTGTCAGGAAATTTCTCCTTAGTTTTAGATTGCTTCTCTCCTTGATTAGTTTTCACCCATTGCTTCTTGTCCTGCCTTCAGGTGCTTTGGAAAATAGTTTGACTCCCTCTTTGTGGCAACCCTGAGATATTGGAACGCCGCTATCATGTCTCCCCTAGTCCTTCCTTTTACAACAGTTGTCCTTATTGAAGTCTACTTTTTTTAAAAAAAATGTTTTGCAAAATAATCTCCATCCTGCAGCAGTGGTATACAAGCATAAAGTCACCATACATATCTGTCTTCATGTGTACACAATACACAGATGCCCATGTGCATGTCCACCCCCATGTACATAAAGGAGTTCTTACTCCTTTCACAATTTCAGTATATTGTTGGCATTTGTTGGAACTGGTCCTCCGACAATTAAAATATTATGTATTATTGTGTGTGGTAATTATAAATACAGTGGATATTATTATGCATTAATTAATATATGTTTCCAGAACAGTACTGTACTTAAAAAGGATTCAACACAATGGTGCCTTAGAAACGAAAAGTTCTAGCATAGATTCCATGATAGATATTCTATAAGAATGCTTAAAATTAATTCAGGCCAGACCTGAATAAGATACAGTAAAATACCATGTCATGATAGTTTGGCAGATACTAGAAACATACCTGCATTTACTCAAATATACAGTTCATGTTTCAGTGGAATGGGACAGTTTGCCACGGCCAACTTGCCCTGGCTAACTCACTGTGACCAACTCACTGAAGAACAACTCACCATGGTCAACTCCATGATAACTCACCCCAGGACAATTCAATAATTCAATTTAATTATTTAAATTAATTTTAAAAATTATTTAAATTTTTGTCATTCACATTTCAGTTGTCCCTCCTTTAGCATTCTGATTCTATTCCACCCTTTCTTCAATATTAGCGTAACTCTTGTCCTGCGGCCACTTGTCCCATGGCCAGTTGGCTATGGTGAGGTGTCTCGTGGCAAGTTGGCCATAGCAAGTTGGCAGCAGTGAGTTGGCCATGGTGAGTTGTACTAAATCCAACTAGAGAAGCGACTCTAAATCCAACTAGAGAAGCAGCTCCTTGTATACATCAAAAGATTCAACCAATTAATTTAGTACTTCCAATGATATCTGTTTCTGTAACATCTGTTTCTGTCTTGACTATGCATTCAGCAAACATCCCCTGTACAGACCGCCATTAATGTAGAGATGGGCAGCCTGGCAAAACCCTACAGTTGATCCATGCAAGTACAGCAATAACCCAGCCAATTTTCGGAGGTGCAATTTTGTTCAATTTGGAGGGCTTTTAAGCGAGTGAATGGGCCCTCTTCCCACTCTCCAATCCATCAAATTAAATGAAAAATGGGAACAAAATATTTGGTCCCATTCCTCCTAGTCCATCACCAAGATTCTTTGGCAGCTTGCCAATTAGCTGGGAGACAAAGTACAGCCTCAGGTTTTAAAAAGTTGTCTGTTCCTCCATTATAAATAAATGTGATTATAGTCAAAATCCTGCATAATAAATATCCTGCTCCTCTTCCACCTCCTCCTGCTCCTCGTCCTTACTTCAGTATAGTTATTTTCAAAGTGTCGGACAAGATTCTACTATAGTTGCATATGTTAATCTGTAGATAGGTATTTTTTACAACTATAGATAGGTTTTTGTAAAATGAGGTGAAGAACTTGATATTCAATAATTTTTGAGAGATAGCCCTCCCTTTTGAGAGCTGTAGAGTACATCATAAATACGCACTAACTTGGGGAAATAATTGCTCAAATACTTTTTAAAAACTTTCAACATTTTCAGTATGACTATTCATTTCATGTATTAACTTCATGCATGAAACATGTAGCTGAATATGCATGTTTTTTAACATAAATAAATTGCAACTAATTTTCACATCCCACCATAACTTGTTGATAGTGATGTTTCCTACTTAAATTTGTTAAATGGCATGCATAATTAAAGAAATTGTAAGCTATACTATGCTAGAAATAAATTACAACTTCTATTAGGGTAATGCAAAATATCAGGGCTTGTATGCCATCATTAATTAGAAGATCTGACAAGCACACTCCATACAATTCTATACATTTTGTAGGAATCTGAATGTTTTGAAATATGAGTTGCTATTTGGAATATATATTCATGGTCTATAAATGGAACTGATTTTTTTAAAAGTTGTGTTTACAAAAAAATAAAATCACCACAATTTGAATTTGACATGAGCATGAAAATATTAATAGTTATAGTTTGGAAGCTCAATCTAAATCTCAATCTACTTCTGCATCAAAAGCTGCTCAAGGTAGTTTTATTCATTAACTAATCAATATAATGTCTATAGACTTTTCACTTCTAATTGGAATTTTCATACACTATTCTGTTTTGGAGTAGGAATATTATGCAAAATGCAAAAAGACAGTGGATTAAAGAAATTAAAGCTAGAAGATAAGCATAAAGAAATTAAGCTTAAATCTATTTTATTCACCGTACTTTTACATTTTTGCAAATCATCCTTGCATCCACCATGTCCACAGGATACTTCTTACATTGTTATTGAAACTTTTTTTTTTTTGAGAAATCATCAATTTTATCCAACCAATACTTTTTCAGTTTTCTCTTTTATATGTTTACTTTAAATATCAATTTATTTATTCTCTCTATATGACTAGACCAGTGATGGCTAACCTTTTTGCCATCATGTGCCAAAAGCAGGGGGAGTGCAGGGGGGTCACACGCGTGCGTGCCCACACCCATAATTCTATGCACCCCACCCTCCCGTGCATGCGTGCATGATCCTCCCGCTCCCCCCGCTTTTGGCATGTGATGGCACGGTGGGCCCATTTTTCGCCCTCCTCAGGTTCCAGAGCCTTTCTAGGAGCCTGAGGAGGGTGAAAATGGCCTTCCCCACCCCCCGGAGGCCCTCCGGAGGCTGGAAACAACCCATTTGCCAACTTCTGGTGGGACCGGAAGGCCTGTTTTTGCTCTCCCCAGGAGTCTGGGGAGGGCGAAAACGGCCTTTCCCACCCCCTGAGGCCCTCTGGAGGCTGGAAACAGCTTGTTTCTCTACTTCTGGTGGGGAAGGCCCGAAAATGGAGCTGAGCTCACGTGCCCACCAATATGGCTCCACGTGCCACCTGTGGCACGTGTGCCATAGGTTCATCATCATGGGACTAGACCATTTCAGTATGCTTTTACACAGATCATTTGCTTTTATATTCAATCTGTATTCATTCAGCATCTGTTTATTCTTGACCCTCTCTCTTCTTGTTTCATCTCACACATTTCTGAAGCAACAAATGGCTACTGCAGTCAACTTAATTTTAAGTTTCTCTTGATATTTATTATTCATTCATTCATTCATTCATTCATTCATTCATTTATTTATTTATTTATTTATTTATTTATTTATTTATTTATTTATTTATTTATTTATTTATTTATTTATTTATTTATTTATTTATTTGTTCGATTTATATGCCACCCTTCTCCGGAGACTCAGGGCGGCTTACAATGCGTTAAGCAATAGCCTTCATACTTTTGTATATACCTGCTTAGGAGGGCTTTCACCCCCCCCCAGCAATGTTCTTTTTTATACAAAGTCAGCTTATTGCCCC